ATCAAGCAGAAAATGCCTTGCGCATCCAGTTCAAATGAGTAAAGTTACTGACATGTTATTGTATAACACGTTATTCGTGGTGTAACTTTAATTTCTGTGATTTCGGTACGCAGTTATGAGTTTTGCAACACTTGCGTTCAGTTCTCCTGGAGGTGAATGCCTTTCAAAAAGCACGCCCAATGGCATTCCACACAGCAGCAGCGTGCCACACAGGTCACACATGAACACAAATAAATTAGTCCGCAGTCAGATGATATAAAATAGTTCGTAAAGCCAGCCACAGTGCAAGTCTCAAAGTGAATTGTCTGAACCGAAGCCCACAAGCACATGTGCGCCATGGCTGCATGTACTTGAGTACGAAACTCACGCTTCTGCACGCGAGATCAACGCAGCATTACAATAACATGCTAGTAATTAGCCATGTTGTTTTCTCTAGTTTTGTAGAGTCCGATGCTGGAGTGCCGACTGCTTCAAATATTCAAAATAGCCGCCTGACCAGCTGGGACCATGTGTTATTGTAAGAAAAGATTGCAGTTTCCTGCAAGCCTTCTACTAACCTTGATGAGATACTCTAACTGCTTGCTCAACGCGGAGAAGGACGGCCTTACAGTCGGATCCTGATCCCAACATCTACAGGACAGAGAAACAGATTTAGACGGTCACAAGTAGCGCCAAAAGCACAGGCACCAGCCCAGCACTGGGAAAGCCTTGCATGGTGGATGCAGTCTATCGCAGTATCGGGCTGCCGGCAGTACGTGCTCGTCTAGATCATAGCATAATATGCCACACATTAGGCAACGAATACCAATACTGCAGATGCAATACTAAAAGAATGGAAGGTAGTACATAGCGTTGGCAAGACTACAACTGCACATGCTGCTGGCTTAACTGTTATGAAGGGCAGTGCCACTGGCTATCTAGAAATTTTTTTCTACTTCGAAGTTCACACACACTGGTCTGGTTCTACTTGTACATGTACTGGCAAAGGTGCACACACAGACACGTGCGCGCGTGCGCACAGACACAGACAAACGCACACACAGGCGCACACACAGACACAGACATAGACACACAGACAGACACACAGACACACACACGCGCGCGCGCACGCACACACACTGGTCTGGTTCTACTAGCAAAGGTACATGGGCCCAGCATAATCTCAATCTGCTCCACATTAGTAGTGATGAAGATACAAGAAGCATACCATGTTTTTTCCAACGTTTCTACTGGTTACAGGTCGTCTAGCACTCGACAATACCACACTCACCTTGTGATCATGGTTAGCAAGATTTTCGGAATGCTGTAAATTAGCTTGGGTCGATTGCCTAGAGAAGCAGTACATGGCAGCAAAGGAAACAATGCATCGGTGAAGGATAGAGCAGTGACCAAGGGGAAATTGGTACGGGCAACAGAGCCTTAGGGGCACATGGATACAAGTCATGAGCAGCTGTCCACCACTGGGACTGGAAAGTGCAACAACTAGGCACCAAACCGACAGAGTACTGAAACATTCAACGACTTAATTTCGGCTCATTAGGCCATCCAGAATTAATTCGTTGTTTCGGGTCACCCGACCGACCGTCTTTTTTCACCCGACCGCACAATGTTTTTTTTTATTGTGCATGCAAATGTACAGACTAGACTATGTACACACGCGACCCTAATAGTAGCAGTCCAGATATCGACCTCAGAAGCAGCCATGGCTAGCCAAATGACAGGATGCAGTGCTTGGTGACGACGTTGTCTTCTATCTCCGATCCGCAATCGGTCCTGAAACAGAATCAGCTCCGCCACCTTGTCGCTATTTACAGAAGTTTTCAAGGTGAGAGCTGCTCATCAGACTCGTTTGCCAGCGAGGCCAAGATCTGGTCCAGGAGGGGACCTGGATCTGATGGGATAATGACTGCGCTGGATTGTCTACACTACAGTCAGATTTGATCGACTGGCTAGATGGACTGACAAAAGCTATTCGATGTACATGTAATGATGTATGCACATGGACGTAACCAAAATAAAAAATAAAATAAAATATAAAATAAACCCGACCGACCGCCCCTGGTACGGATGAGTGAAGTGACCCGAAACAACGAATTAATTCTAGGTGGCCTTATCTGAGATTAGTTCTGCAACAGAGACTGTTTGGCACACTTTGCTTGCACAAGTTACTAGTAGCAACACATGGTGGTTACATTCCACCGAGAAAGTAAAAACAACTACGTGAAGTACAGGAAGGTTGATTCTGTACACAAACTCACAACCTGACTACACCAGCAAAGGCAACCAAACCATGAAGAAAGGAGACTGGACAGCCTGCAGAGATGGGGTCGTCCTGCAACGCCATGGGTCCAAGAAAGCAACAAGACCACTTACTACTCAAAAGAACACTGCGCCATACCTGTGTGCACAGCCCACATGATGGCAAATGCTCCTTTCTTGATGTCATCAAACGGTTTCTGCCCAGACAAAACCTCCCAAAGAATGATGCCGAAACTACACAAAGAGAATAGTCAAAGCCAGACAGGAATGGCACAACGTACACAATCACATCAATAATCAATAGCGGATTTCAATTCAAGGACCAGTTGTTGGAACCCACACTCCCACACACATATGCATGCAAGCCACATACACATGCACATACATGTACATGTATAAGGGGAACAACTTCGAAGTATAATTAAAATATGCCGATACCATGAGCCCCTCCAACCTTATGTGTTGCTCTGGCAGCGTGAACACATGCAAAGCATACAAAGAAATTCAGAAGACAATGGCCGATCTTACCTGTATACATCACACTTTTCACTGTACAGAGTGTCTTCAAACACTTCCGGGGCCATCCAGGCAGCGCTTCCAGTGCAGTTGGTCATGTGTGTGCGTGCTTCACACGCCGTGCCAAAGTCACAGATCTTCAGAACGGTGCCCGGGTGCACCAGAAGCAGGCTGAGCGGGACAACACACACACACACACACACACACACACACACACGTGCACACACGCACGCACACACACATACAGACATTGCGGAGAATGGCAGAGCCATTGGTACGGAGACAAAACCACAAATCTCCTGAAGCAGGAAATTAAACGTCACAGCAAAGTACATGCTTTCACTGCAATCTAAAATGGATACGCAGACGTGTTCCTACGGCTTTCCGGCAAGTCTCTAAGTAAGGCTCTAGTCATGTCAAGACCACCAATTCTCTTGTTTTGGGGAGAGGGGTACTGTAGCGTATAGAAGTCATAGGAGGAAAAGCACACTAGGACAACACTTCAAAACTCTAGGCCACAAGCAAGTTTACACGCAATGTGTGAACAACTCAGTGCACGTGCATGAGCCACATGTAGTTGCATACATAGAGCACTGCGCGGAAATACCAGAACGAAAATCATTCAAGAAGACAACGAAGACTCACTTGGGAGATTTTAGATCTCGGTGCACAAGTTTGATGCCGTGGAGGTACTCAACACCCCTGGCACACTGCAACATCCAGCTGAGAGCATGCGCCGTGGTGTACCGAATCTGGTGGCTCTCGTTGTGCAATACTATCCAAAAGAATACAGACATGTGCACATACATGTAGACACACACACACACACGCATACACAAGCACACACGCATACACACACACACACACACACACACACACACACACACACACACACACACAAATAAAATCTACCAAAGAGCCAAATGAAGGGCATCAAAATGGGGTAAAGCATTCACACCAATACTGAATATGCACGTATCCATATCTGAATCGAAAGACGTGATTGTTTCTTCTCCTGCACTGGAGGAGATGCTCGTCAAATTAATTTAGTAACAGCGTTAGTTAAATTCACCGAACTACTAGCCGAACCATGCCAGGTCCAACCCTCTTCTCAGTTCGGAGTCAGCTGGGTGGGGCAAGGTGATTCCCATACTTTGCAAACATTTTCATTAACAACAACCTTGAATGGGCATTCAGGGTTTTAGAATGTCCACATAGGCAGCAAGAGGAGGGGGGGATGGGGGGGGGGGGGGTGCTTTACTTGACCTACTTCTGCTACAACCTTACCATCGTAGAGCGAGCCACCATCCGCGAATTCCATCACCAGGCATGTCTGGACAAGACAACACAGCAGCAGCCATGGTCGCACGGCGGAATGCAGACTATCGAGATAATATGTGCTGCCTGTGTGTGGTCAGGTTTGTCGCAAGACGGTTCAGTTGCTTGACTGTGTATTGTGTTGGCCACACACATGTAACTACGTAGGTTTCAAGTTGCATACACTGCTTGTATTCCATGTCAAGAAAGTGAGCTCTTGTATGTAAACAACAGAGAGAAAGAGAGAGAGAGAGAGAGAGAGAGAGAGAGAGAGAGAGAGAGAGAGAGAGAGAGAGAGAGAGAGATAGGAGAAGAGAGAGAGAGAGAGAGAGAGAGAGAGAGAGAGAGAGAGAGAGAGAGAGAGAGAGAGAGGGAGAGAGGGAGAGAGAGAGAGAGAGCACAGAGATGTTGTTTGCCCCCTAACAACCAAGGAGTAATGTTGTGAAGGAAACACAGGTATCAAGTTTAACCAAAGCACACACCTTACTGCCGTCGTTAACTGCTCCAAACAGCATAACGATGTTTGTATGATGAATTCGGGAAAGCTGCTTCAGCTACAGATACAGACCCAGTACAAATATAGATGATGAGGCACAGGAAATACAGGAGAGCCCCATAGAAACGGCAGCAATATTTAGAAAGAAAAAAAACCATGAAAAAACACCAGGTGCACGAAAGTCAACGTGCAATGTGTCAGTCACATGTCTTTATACAACAGCGATGTGACTGGAGTGTATGCCCTGACAACCTATGGCAGTAGACAAGACACTGAATGACTATGGGTACAGTACGGGCCTGGCTTGACAAGTTGACATTCTTCAGCTTGCTGACAATAGGTACAGATATACAGTAAGCTCATGCTTCAAAGAACACATTGCTGAATACCAGTCGCATCGGGAAATGAGAATGATGTAAGCTAGCCCTTTGGCCAAAAGGAGCTTTTCAAGATGGTTGATAACTAACTTCCATGTGCATGCGCATGTGCCTATTTCCGGGCATAAGCGCGCCCTCACAAATAAGCGCATGGGCTTATATTGTGAACCTAAATGCAATTCCATCCGCGACACACGGACACCACAAAAACACCATGTTCACATAGTTTAATGTGCCATGCGGTATCGCACTATTTGCATAATTATTAGGGGCTGTCCGAGGTTACCAATAATATTTTCAAAACGAAATGTTTTCGTTTGTGGGTGGGTGGGTTTGATGGTGTTTCGTTTTGAAAATAATTATTGAATGCTGATTGAGAATGCCCAGTTACTTCTGGATGTCGAAAATTGACATCAATATTTTATTGGAATTCGTTTTATCTGCAGAAAAGGTGGGTGGGTGGGTGGGGGCTGAAAAATACTAAAACTTTTCGTTTTGTAAAAACAATCGGTAACCCCGGACGGCCCCTTAGGGCTCAAACGGTCACGGTTTTACCCCTAACGGTTAACTGCTAAGCTAACGGTCGGTTTAACGGTTATAACCTATAAGCCACGGCAATCCGGCGGACTCTTTTTTAACCGTATATTTGACTACATTGTATACTCATTCAAAAAATGTACCCTATTCAGTACAACGCACCCATGTACATTCTCTTGCATGCTCATTCATACATACTCTCACACCAAGAGACCAGATATGACCGAGTTGACAGCCCAGAAATTGCGTGCGCGTGCGACAGCCTGCGAAAGTGCATACTTTTCAACGACCTGATACTTGAAAAATTGACTGAAAAGTTACTGCGTAACCGTTATCTTTATCGGTTAACCGTTAATTCTTCGTAACCGGTCTGCAACCGGTTAATCGGACTAACCGTTTGAGCCCTAATAATTATACAAGGCACCGGTGCACTAGCAACTCAAGCGAATGCGCCTATGTGTGAGACAAAACGGCCCGCAAAAATTGCAAATCATGCAAAAACTCACTCATAAGCGCATGTGCCTTTATGTGCGTCACTACGGTAGTAGAAAAGATCAAGTCCAGTCAGCAGAGCAGTAATTTCACTACATGATGAAGGTATGCCGTACAGAGCACCCCTCACCGGCTGATCAGAGGTTCAAGTTACTTCTGAAGCACACCCGTGGGCTATGGACTCCTGATAGCCTGCGAAAGCATGATATAGACCTTTTGTGCGTTGCACAGATGTACGAAGTTCAGTACTAGGGCGTAGGTGTGTACAGACCCGGTTGGGTGTTCATTGATAAAAAATAATAATAATAATAATAATTGTATGCTATGCATGCGCATTTGACCAATTTTAGCCTCATAATTAATGGCAAAACAATCCCTTTTCCAGCTTCTTCACTTTGGTTAGAACTAATGACTAACTAGATTCTTGTCAGAAAAGGTTTTCGTTTGAAATGTCTTCAGGGCCCATTTCTTAGTGGAAATAGCAGAAAACACAATAGGGTCCTGCACATTCAACACCCATTAGGTTCTACGGGATTCTACGGGATTTCATGCATCTGCACAACGCGCAAAAGGCTTATTACGTGGATATCATGAACTAGTACACTCGAACGTCTCTTATCCGGGCACCTTGGGACCGGGCACTGCCCGCATCTCAGATTTGCCCGTGTCTCAGGATAACTCACCTACCATGTATGATATCATTTTTTGAAGAAGTTTATTTGGCACGTATTGCACATGTTGAGGATACAAAAGGAACCCATTGATAAAAATGTGTGGATTACATAGGTTGGCAGTGAAACATAAGCACTTCCACACACGGAAGAAAGTTCAAAAACCCCAAATTCGACTCATTTGTGCTATAGGCCCTCAAGCTGAAGGTGCCCGGTAGAGAGACGTGCCCGTATCTGAGGCGTCCGGATAAGAGGCGTTTGAGTGTATAGCCGTTTCTACTGACGACGTCCTGAATTAAACGTAGTGCTTTTTTGTTTTTTATTTATTTTGCTATGCTTGTACCATATCGTAACTGAGCTTCATTAGGGCTAAAGAAAGATATCAGGTTGTGTTTAGTGGCAGAAAAATAGTAGCTTGTCCCGAAAAGAAGTATTTGTCAGAGTCGGTGGATGGTATGCTGCATTCAACAGCTTACTTCATTACGAAACGCTTTCTTCTCCTCCTCTGACTCCATAGTTTTGACAGCAACACGTTTGCCACTCCATATCGCCTCCTTCACGACGCCAAATGTTCCCGAGTTCACAACCTGAATAGCGACGCGAAATAACAAAGTTTCTCGTAAGCCAGCAGTGCTTCAATCGTGGTAATGAACGTTCAGGATACGTACACTTCTAAATTCTATGTCAGAGTATTTTATTTCCTGAAAATTGGGTGCTGCCTCTCCAGGCGCCATCTCGGACGGAGGCACCAATCAGGGCAGCTTAAGTCCGTCAACAGAAACCTCCCGCACAGCATCTCCTATGCCCGGAGCCGAAACGAGTAACTATTATCATCGCTCATGGAAGAAAGAGCACTATATTATTGTAGATTCTCAGTTCTCTTCGTCAGTGAATAGGTAGGACTGGTGAAGGGATTGTTCAAACACCTACAAATATTTTGAAAAAATGAAAATCAGCGGCATATGCGCATATGGGGGCGGCATGACGTCAACCGTACAGAGGTATTTTTGGCAGGCCATGTTCGCACACACTGCACAAACGTCAAAATAGCTGAGCATGCATCGATCATAGCATGTGCATGTGAGAGACTCGATACAAGTAGTTTGTGAGAGCCAGGGAGTCGTGGTAATTGACGACTCCCTGGTGAGAGATACGATTTTCAATTTCATGTTGATTGATTGAACAAAGTGAGTAGAAGTTGACTCCATGGTCCGTGGACTTCTTCTTGTTTGTAGGCATACAAATGACCATCAGGTTCGGCTATTGTACAGAGCAATCCCCGTCGCCTACGTGTAGCCTACAGTAGCAGGGTCCAGGCCCTCTCTTGAAACTGCTGAGTGATTGCAGAACTCGACAGACCATACAATATCAGATGGTACTAGTAGTCTGGGAACATAGATCTTCTACTGCTTTGAAAGTCACTCAAGGATATTTTGCACAGACGCCCGAAGAAGAGTCGGCTGCACCTGGTCCCCAACAACCACAAACAAGCAGGGAGCAGTTACTGAGTAGTATCTTGCAAGCAACAACCCGAGCGCACACACCACCGCACACACTCACAAGCTCGACTGCCACGGTTTCAGTCGAAGTTTCTTTTCAAATATACCTTTAAAGTAAAGGAGAGGAAGCAAGGATGTGGTGCAACTAGGAGAGAATAGTTGAGACATGGGCAGCAATGCAACTTGAACATAGCACACTGACACATGCGACATGCTACAACAAAACAGTGCCGAGAGAAGAGAAAATAAGTGGGTCGACCAAGATACAGAATCAAAAACAGACAACCCCAGCATAAAAACACTAGCAAAATCGAATTCAGATGTTTAAAAACCTAATGGTTGGAGTCACTGGATAGTTTAAAAAAATTTATAAAAACAAAAACAAAAATACAAGAAGGAAATAAGGTAGGAGACCAGCAAGTGTTACAGGATCGTTAGGATCAAATCCAGTGTTGTTGATATATCAAGTAGTTATATTGACAGTGTACACAAATGGACTATTCGAGTAATAGGTAGAATATGAAAAATCAGTGTGATTGTTAGAAGCCACATTCAGACCGGTCGGGCCCGGAATTAGCTTTGCACATAAGTGAATTACCAGGGCAAGTAACTCCAATGGCTGAGGAAGCCAATATCACGCAGAGAGTTCTCGGCACGTGGAAATAGGAGGTTATCAGCGGAATGCAAGTGGCTTCCGCTGCCTTTCAACAAGACCCTGCGGCTGTTTATGTTTCGCCTGAAGCTGAAAGAAGACAAAAAAGACAAAGGTAAAAAGTTACTAAAAACAAAACCATTTGTAAAGTGTCTTCAAAATGTTTTCGGCAACACTTCTGCTCATTCTACAGAGGGCTGTGCAGCATAGGCGTTCTGTTCACTGAGATCAATCAACAAGATTGAAGAGGAATGCAAAGGCAAGAGTGCACATACGAGAGAGCTTGGAAGCTCAGAGCCCTACGCTATGCTTTTTTTGCCTAGCTCATCATGCATGTTATTAGGGTGCGTTCTTAAATCCTCTCGGAAAAGTTGGAGACTCTCCGAAAAGTTCGAGAGCTGTTCTTATATCCTCTCCGACTTTTAGGAGGCTCTCCAAAGCTCTCGAAGCTCTCCAAGCTTCAGAGGTGGTTGAAACTCGGAGATTCCCGCGGTTTCGGATCAGCGCATGCGAACTAGGCTAAAAGCCACGTGTTGATCATGAGTGTACGCATTTCCCTTTTCGCATACGCACAGCGCATACTATTTTCGTGGCACTCAAGATCACGGTCCCTTTGGCGCTCCATTTTGCTTGACATCTGCAAAATATCTCCGAATTCTTCGAGACCCGTTCTTGAAGAATCCCAGTTTCTTCGACTTCTCTTTTCTTCTTCTTCTAGAAGCTGGAGAATTTAAGAACGCACCCTTAGAACTGATGGAACTTTCTCTTTGGCCCCAATTTCGTTGCGGTCTTATAGTGTTTTTACGTCGACCATTACGGCTACAATGCCCAACCATACCACATGCACAACGAACTGATCGGCTTCATCATTGTATTGCAAAAAGTTTCCATCTGTTCGAATAACATGCATGATGAGCTAGGCAAAAAAGCATAGCGTAGAGCCCTGAGCGAAAGAAATAAACTTTCTCTTTGCATTCGAGGGTAATACGACACCATCTACCACCTTGATGACCTAGGCAAAAAAGCATAGGGATGTTATAAATTTTTCATTCCTCCTATTTTTTTAACGACATAACCTGGGATTCGAACCCGCACTATTGCCCTGCATGCATTCCCCCGATACACTTCGCATACTAGTATATATTTCCAAGTTGCTTCACGTTATGATCTTGCATTTGACAGTCCTATTTGAATATTGTGGCCAGCTGTCTTTCATGGTACGGTACGGGATAGCGCCAGGCATGCAGATGGCACAAACAAACATGGAATTAAAGCTGTGTGGACCCTGGCTAGCGCCAGACGTTACTGAAGTAACGTCTTTTGCATAGCTACGGGAATAATATAATATTACCTGTTGTGTCTCTAACCAAGAGACTGTGGGTTCACACGTAGAGTTTACATACAAGTTTATTCTACGGTTGCAAAGCAATAAGAAGCGTTGAGGTATGATTGTGCTAGAGGATATAGGAGTTGTATCCCGGGTGCGGGATGCGTTGGGTGTTGGGTGGCAGTACAATGAATTGCTATAGAGAGTTCATGCCTAAGCGGTTGTGGTTTTAGGGTGGATCAATAGTACTTGCAATTAGATGAATACATGTCTGGTACATACACTACATTCCTCCCCTAAATGTTATGGTACATGTTGAGCTACGAGGTATTCCTATACGGCATAACATTTAATGCACAAGAAGAAGAAGCGGATGAGCTGAGAGCACGGGACAGCAATTGTGTAAGCAAGAAGCAATTCAGTCTCTCAGGCGAGCCGGCAGGACTCGGGCTCTCGGCGGGTTACGGCGGGGTTCAGTCGTATCTTGTGCCAGCGGCGACTGGACCTGCTGCGTTGCCGTAGTTGCAGCTACTGGTGCTTGCGCAGGCGGAGGTGTTGGAGTAGCAGCGGCTTGGACACTGGGTGGTGTCGGAACACTAGCTGGCGAATGAGCAGTCGGAAAGCACAAACTGTGATCAGGGATGTAGCGGTGACTTCGGTGGCGCCGCCTGGTGTGCCTGACAGCCAAGGCAGGCCTTGCCGGTCTGCTCGATGTCTGTGTCGATGCCTGGCCACCATACAAAGCTGCGGGCTAGTGCTTTCATCCGAACCAGCCCAGGATGGCCACTGTGCAGCTCCTCCAGTACTCGGTGGCGCAGTGGGGAAGGAATGACGACACGGATTCCCCACATGACACACCCTTGGTGTAGGCCCAGCTCATCTTTGCGTCGTACAAACGGTTGCATGTCACCGTCGGTTGTTGACAGGGCCCGTCCGGTGCTGACACTGGTTAGGACCTTGGCGAGAACTGGGTCACGGTTTGTGTGACGCGCTATTTCAGCTGCCGTGACTGGAAGCGGGTCGATCTGGGCCATGTTGACCACGTCTGCCCAGTCTAGGCTCTCATCCTGTGGTGAGTGTGGCAACGGTAGGCGTGACAGGCCGTCAGCGTTTGCATGATCGGCTGATTTGCGGTACTTGATCTCATAATTCATGCTTGCTAGGAAGATAGCATACCGCTGTAGGCGGGCCGTCGTCATGGCTGGCAATCCCTTGCTAGGACTGAAGATGGCTGTCAGCGGCTCATGGTCCGTCAGCAGGACGAACGGTCGGCCAAACAGGTACGTGTGGAATTTGCGGACGCCCCAGACAATAGAGAGCGCCTCCTTATCGATCTGGGCGTACCGCTTCTCGGTGTCTGTCAGGGACCGTGACACGAAGGCAATCGGCCTTTCCGTACCATCCGGCATGATGTGCGAGAGCACCGCCCCCAGGCCATATGGCGATGCGTCGGTTGCCAACTGCACGGGTAGGTCGGCATCAAAGTGCATGAGGACCTGATCCGAGGCGATGGCTGCCTTGATAGCCTTGAACGCAGCCGCGCATTCAGCTGTCCAGTGCCAGGACTGACCCTTCCGGAGCAGGTTGTTGAGTGGATGCAGGGTCGTGGAGCAGTCTTTGAGGAAGCGCTGGTAGTAGCACACCATGCCCAAGAAGCTCCGTAGCTGGGATACGTTCTGCGGTGCTGGGGCTTCGTTGATAGCCTTGACCTTGCCATCAGTCTTGCGCAAGCCGTGGCGACTGACAATGTGTCCACAGTACTCGACTTGGTCTGCAAAGAACGTGCACTTGGCCGGGTTGACTCTCAGGCCGTGGTCCGACAGACGACTCAGGATGCTTTCCACATTGTCAAGGTGGTCATCGTCGTTGCGGCCGGTGACAATAATGTCGTCCAGTAGGCAGGCCTGGCTTGGGACGCCGTGCAAGATGCGGTCGATAGCCTGTTGCCAGAGCGCTGGGGCAGAGGCAACACCGAACCCGAGTCGGTTGAGCTGATACAGGCCCTTGTGCGTCGTGAGTGTGAGGAGTGGTTTGGATGCGTCATCCATCTCCATTTGGAGGTATGCCTGCTTTAGGTCGATTTTGGTGAATCGCTGGCCTCCAGCCAGGGTGGCGAAGACATCTTCCACGCGTGGTAGCGGGTGCTGGTCCACCTTCAGGTGTGGATTCAATGTGGCTTTGAAATCTCCACAGAGACGAACTGAGCCGTTGGGCTTCATCACAGGCACAATAGGTGTCGCCCACTCACTCCACTGTACCTTACTCACGATACCCAGACCTTCCAGCCTGTCCAGTTCAGCTTCCACCTTTGGCCGCATGGCGTAGGGCAATGGGCGCGCCTTAAGGAAGCGAGGGCTTGCATCGTCCTTCAGCTGGAGACGAGCCTTGGCGTCCTTGAGCTTGCCAAAGTCGTCGCTGAACACATCGGAGAATTTCTCCTTGAGCTGCTCAAGACGCGTACCTGCTGATCCTGGATGCTGCTGGCCAGGGGACACGGTTGCGGAGGGGACGTCAGCCATCTCGACCTGGAACAAGCGCTGCCAGTCGAGAGCGATGTGGGCAAGCAGGTCCCGGCCACAGAGCGCTGGCCCCTGCGTGTCCACCACATGCAGTGGTAGCTCCGCGGATTGATGGTAGTATTCCACGCGTGCTACGAACGTTCCGCGAGGATGCACGGGCTCGCCGGTGTACGTACGCAACTTCAGCTTGCTCGCGGTGAGAGGCGAGGCAGACAGCGACTTTCGATAAATCGCACTCGGAATGATTGACACCGCAGCTCCAGTGTCGACCTGCATGCGGACCGACTGGCCATTGACGATAGCATCAATCCAAAGTGCCTTCCGCACGGTCGTGGGTGTCGTTTCATCCGTGGCGACTGCTGGCGCTTGAAGGACGTCTGCGGCTAGAAGAGAAAGTGAATTGAACTCGTCGTCGTCCGCGACATCGACAGCCAAGCTGTGGCAGGCGCTGCTACCACTTGAGCGTTTCGCTGAATCTGTCGATCTTTCCGCGAGGCGCTTCTTGCAAACCTTGCGGAGGTGCCCAGTCTTCCTGCAGTGGCGGCATTCATATGCCTTGAAGGGACATTCACTTGCGCCGTGTGCCGTCGAGCCACAGCGGAAGCATGCTGAATAGCTCGTACGGGATTGACCTGAGTTCGCGGACTTCGCACCTCCGAACGATGGTCTGCCAGCACGACGATGTTGCGATGTGCCCAGAACGTGTACACCAGCAGCAGTGGCACTGCCCGCGAGCTCGGATGCATCGCGAGTAGCTACCTCCAGGCTGTTGGCTTTCTCGATGGCGGTCTTCAGAGTGAGGTCCTTCTCTGCCAACAGAACTTTGCAGAGAGCTTGACTCCTGATACCACACACGAACCGATCCCGCAGCGTGGTATCCAGGACATCGCCAAACTCACAGAATCGTGCCAACCGTCGGAGCTCCGCGAGGTAGGCATTTACTGACTCTCCTTGGCGTTGATCCCGCTTGTGGAAACGGTATCGTTCCGCGATCACCAAGGGCTTCGGAGCACAATGCGCAGCCAGCGCGTCGGACAGCTCCTTCAGCGTCTTGTCCTTCGGTTTGTCCGGGCTGACCAGGTCAGCCAACAGTTTGTAGGTCAGGCCACCAATCAGGGTCAGGAAGGTGGCTACTTGCCTGTCTTCGGCCACATTGTTGGCAGCGAAGTACTGCTCGACGCGGTCATAGTACGTAGACCAATCCGTCGTTCCAACCGAAAATGGTTCCATGGCTCCAATTGCAACGGCCATCTTCGTCGCCAGTTGTTGTGTCTCTAACCAAGAGACTGTGGGTTCACACGTAGAGTTTACATACAAGTTTATTCTACGGTTGCAAAGCAATAAGAAGCGTTGAGGTATGATTGTGCTAGAGGATATAGGAGTTGTATCCCGGGTGCGGGATGCGTTGGGTGTTGGGTGGCAGTACAATGAATTGCTATAGAGAGTTCATGCCTAAGCGGTTGTGGTTTTAGGGTGGATCAATAGTACTTGCAATTAGATGAATACATGTCTGGTACATACACTACACCTGTGACAATCACTACTCTGGGTAAATTAAAATGGTGTCCCATCAGGGAACAAAGTTGGCTACGATAGTGGTACATGATGTATTAAACTCACCCCAGCATTCTCCTGGCCACCCAACACTGCAAACTTGCCAGCACCTGGCGGGGCCGATGCATTCTCCTTGCCCTGAACAAGGAAATTACGAGCTGCCTTTGCCTTCAGGCCTCCTGCTTTTCCTGGGTCCAGGGCAGAGAGAGCCCGACGTGGCTTCTTGAGATCAGCATTCTGTGCCTCACGACAATCTGCTCAGACACGGCAAGAAGCAAACGCACGCAGTCACAAAAAGTCAACTCGATCAGACAAAAGAAAGATCATTCCAACCAAGAAAAAATATAGCGGTCCATAAATTGCAGGAAGCACGGCTGTAACGCTAGATTCGGCACCTTTTAAAAATTGTTACATCTGTAAGAGTTGACAGTGCACTATCTTCAGCGAGCGCATACAGGGTCCACTATTGTTTCAACCTTGGATCAGGATTAGAGTTACATCGTCCTACCACACAGTGAGTTACATCAGAGGGATGCACAGTAATACTACACGCTGCAGGATTCGATGAATCCTAAATCGATATGATCTTTGATGAGGCACATGGCCAGGAGAGTTCAGCTATATGTGACCGGTTATGTACTCCTGCAACAAGTGTCCCTTGACATATGGCTACAGCTAGAGGCCGCATGGGAGCGACAAAGCATAATAGATACCTTCGTCGACGAAGATGTCAAACCCAGCATCTCCAAACGCTGGTGCATGTGCAACTGGTGGCGATGCTCTTGGCTTTAGGACCTGAAGCTGACCATGACTCTCAGCCCGCTGCTGCCGTAGAATTGTTTCAGCTCTGCATAGCAACAGCAGCAAACACATTGTGCAACAGGTTGTTCTCAGTCCAGGCAAGAAGTGAAACGCCAGTCTCTATACCGAGGTACGGAGCAATGCAAACGTCATTCTGATGCTATGGTATGAAACTAAATAAGTCAACTTCCTCACCGGCCGCGCTCTCAAAGCCGACCAACGCACTCTTCTTATAACTCTCAGAAACTCTCTCAACAAAGAACCAGCAAAGAATTCGATACTAATAATTCCTCACAACAGCTTTTACAACCATCGTTGGTCTCGTCGGGAAAGGTAGATATTGAAAGGGTTTTTCCGAATGCAAGCTGCATAGTTTTAGGTAAAGAGACTAGGCAGAAATCCATTTCCTGAATTTTGGTATGAAGAACTGCATGGTCATTCTGAAGAGGCTTGTCAGAAATCATTGAAGTAACCCCCAAGGTTCCCAAGGTTATTCATTGAAACATCAGGTAATCTTTATACGAATAGTCTGTACAAGTGCGAACACAGAAACCATGGCATACCGTCTTAGCTTATCTTCGGCTTCAGCTTCTTGAATCTTCAACCTTGCTTCCCACGCTGAAGATAAAGAAATTTGAACATCACGAAATGGTTTTTAATGTGTTAGTCTGGGCAGTGACCCTACTGCCAGCGGAAGTACAAGTAACAGAATTGCAAAAGTGAAGATTGGTGAATCAGAAGATACCATTGAAATTCGTATTCCTCTCCCCTCTCTTCCTCAGCATCAAATCAACTAGCGGACAGCACGACTCTGACTGCACGGCGAGCCACGCAAAACCCTAGGCCAAGTATTACCTTTCAGCTCTGCAGCGCGCACTTGCAAGTCAAGTTCACGCTGGTCCAGTGCGGCTTGTCGTTCCTCCGAACTGATATACAAGGAAAAAGGCATATGCATGAAGAACTGAATGTCAAAAGCAAAAGGAAATTTATACAGAGTACAGGATTGCAGCAAAAGCAACATGGTGCTCACCCCCCCCCCCCCCAATTGACAGCGCCACTGAACTGTAGAATGATGATTTGACTTACCAACATCCCTATGTACATTCATTTAGGTACAAAAGAGTAAAGACGTCTATGCCAGTCAGGGGCGGCGGAACTGGTGCAGCTGGTCAGGCCGTGGCCGGACCAACTGCTTGGCCATCAACGTGTGTTTGCTGCTGAGGAGGCCGTGTACACCTGCCATATCATGCACAAAGTATGAAAGGCTATTATGGTATGGCCGGACAAACCAAAAACTGCTCCCACCTGTCCTGCTAGTTCATTGTTACAGTAAGAGAAGAGTTGAGTAAAAATGGTGACATGGCCTACGGTACTATGACGCGAGGCATGTGCTGAGTGATGCAGACTTGCACAATTATGCACAAACAAAATCAGCCGCCTCTCTTCAATTTCAACCTGGCCACAACGACTACGCGGGCGTGCATAGTCAACAACAAGCCACACCTTTGCAAAAAACCCAGTTACAGTGTATCTTCAAGGTGTATCCTGCGTACCTCATGGCACGGACTGGCTCCTTTGCCGGGGCTTGAAGGTCAGATGCCTTTCGCTTTATGGCTGGTCGATGCGGTGGCTGTTGAACATCAGCTGCAGGTTGTTGCATCTGCTGCTGCCTCTTCAGCTGTGGATGTGCCAGTATCGTATCAATGTTAGGCCGTTCCTGAGCCTACGGTGCAGGAGGACACGGTCACAATAGCAGAACAGGATGGTAAGTGTTCTTGTGATGTCACTAATAGTTCAGATACATTCTCTAGATTCTTTGCCAAGGACTTAAACAGGTGCACATGCACAGTGGGTTGTGGTTGATCAAGAGAAAGCATATAACTTGTTTCATAACGTACTACTAGGACATACAATACTCAAAAGCAAAACACCTTACCTCAACCGTGAGCAGCTGCTCCACAAGTGAACGCAGGTCAGAGGAGTACGTGCTCGGTAAGGGCTGGAAACGACCTTCACGGATTTTCAATGCTAGAAGCTTCTGATTGGCCGCCTGGAACGGAGGCCTGGCAAAGAAAGTGGAGAGGGGAGAAGAGAAGAGAAAAGAAATATCGTACCATGAGCCCTCGGCGCACAGATAATGAAATCAATACCGGCAGGTATGCTGTTTGGTGATCGCCTAGACACATGAAACTCAGAGTCACATCAATAGCTTCGACTCCTTTCTTGTATGTGTATCAATGACTACTATATGGAACAAAGGTATCCAAGGAGAAGATTTAAAACGCATATAGATGCGGAGTGATATAACAGGGTGGTACCGTATTTCCCCGGGGTGCTAGCCGCACTTTAAGTTAAAACGCAGAAAAAAACTCAAAAATCGTCCGAATACATGCACTGGATGAGAATCGGCCAGCACTTATACATGTACTTAGAAGTAGGACACACTTCAGGCTCTTGAAATTTTCGGAAAGTTTTCATACTTGTCAGTTCTGAATGAAGGACAAACTAGGCAAATTTTGCCAGAAATTCGGCCTTGCTTCTTAACCATTGGTAATGTCTTGTATGTACTGATACCCTTCAAGTTAGGTTGCCAAAATTCAAAGCCAGGCGTGCGGCTTATACGGAATGTCAACAAAAATACGAATTTTGGGCCCGAAAAGAGGAGGGGGGGGGGGGGGTGCGGCTTAGACCCCCATGCGGCCAACACCATGCCGGAAAATACGGTGTGCAGCAGAGCAGCAACTCACCGGAGTGAACAGAGCTCATAGACCAGGCAGCCAAGTGACCACATATCAGACTTGTCGTTGTAGCGGTCATGTAAGACTTGTTCCTGGAGTGCCGCACCCAAACGAACAGAACACAAAAGTAGCACAGATCCAAAGCATGCTAGTTACTCACAAGCAATGAAAGACAAAAACACAGTGAATGGCATACTGCAAATATAACTCACTTGGGGCAGGTTGTAAGACATACGGCTGTACATGCACTACAAATTCATCAGATATAACACGGAAAAGTAAAACACATTGCGAAACAGGCATTACGGGTAGCCGGGGGGAGGGCACGATACAGTCAGAAATATCACAGGACACCACCAGCAGTGAGGCTGGTGTAAGTAAAGGTAGCTAGCCAATACATCTCAACAGTAGAAGCATGCCGCGGCGACTTACGGGCGACATGTAGTATGGAGTGCCAACAAACGTCTTTGCCATGCTTGTGTCATGGCCGAGAATACGTGCAAGGCCAAAGTCACCGAGCTTGATGTTCTCCTTGTCGTCCAAGAAGACATTGGCGGGCTTGATATCCCTGTGTAGGATGGAGCCGCCTTGCTTACGGTGGTGGCATAGCGAGAGAGCAGATGCAAGTTGGTAGAGGACTCTCCAGACAAAGGGCTCGTCAAAACCTCCCTGCCTGCATAAAATCAGAACAGTCAGAGCTAGAGCTGTGCTAACACTAAAACATGAAAATATGAATCATGAACTGTCTCGAATGAATTGTACACATACAGTACACTTACGTAATACTAGTATCATTATGTAAGTGTAGTGTAGTCAGTGTAAGTGCAGTATACAAAGTCAAAACACACACTCAGTGTCATACTAAGACCTGGTGACAGCGATAAACAATCTCGACTCACCTGCGCTTCTTCCGTCTATCGATTCGCTTGGCAAGATCACCTCCTTCGCAATATTCCATGACGATGAACAAAGTGCTGGTGGTTTTATCTTGAACACGATCGTGATAGCGAACAATGTGCTCATGGCGAAGTTCCCTCAGCACATTGACTTCAGAAACCAACATGCGACGCTCATCCTCTGACATGATGCCATAGGCAATCTCTTTCCAAACAAGAATCTATAAAATAATCACGCATAGCCACCGATGGGAACATGAAACTCAAAACACGTTACCTGGTGTGCATGTACATGTTGTATTCTACCCACCAAGTATTCACGAATTACAAAAACTCAGTTGTCGAGCTACGACGCTTTCTTACTTTGCCATCCCGCACTCTCTTGATTTTCTTGCATGTGCCATACGAGCCACTACCGATGGTGTTCAGCACTTCATAGTCATCGAGTGTTCCAGCCGGCATGGTGTGGGTGTTGCTGATCGATCGGAGAGATTGAGGGTTTCTTTCACCTGTTCACTCTGAACAGTGAATAACTTCAAACTGATCACGATACCTTTTGCATTATTTTGACGAACATGTTGAACAGCTGATTCTGGGCATTTGACTGATTTGAAAACTTGCGCGAAGTCAGGTGATTGGTCCACAAATCCAAACCTCGAGCATGCGCATATGCTTTCACTAACATTCTCATCTTCGAAAAATGGCGTCGCATATGTGGCAGCCAATTGTTCTCGTCGTGGCCTTGTGCCTATGCACAGGGTTTGCAGAAGCCGACCGTAGGACATTAGTGCTTGTGGACGACCTAAATGTAACGTATACCCATTCTATTTTCTTCAATTCACTTAGAGGTGAGCATTGTGGGAGCAATTTCAAATTGAATTCTGAAATTTGTGCATACAATGCACAATGTTACTGATGACGTGTCAGTATAATGTCTGAGAATGAATGTGGATACCGAATTGGAAAGGACATATCGCACCCCATTGTATATTTATCGCATGCAGATCGAGGATTTGAGCTCGAATTCCTTCCTGCTGATAGTCCTGGCTTGTCACTCGCAAGATATGGAGAGTTTCTCTACGAGAACTTGATCATTTTCTCACCTGCAGTCACAGGTAATTGTTTTCATTATTTCTAGATCCTGAGTATGGGTGCTGTTTCATCATTTGGAACAGCATACTGTACGTGTTAGTGTCATGTACAACATTGTATACTACTAGTGTGTGTTGCCAGCCAGAATGAGGAAAATGAGCTGGACCCCACTATTTTTAAATCGAATACTATTTGTACAAAATCACCCATCGTTGAGTACAAGTATGAGAGTAATAATTGTTTCAACTGTCTACCATTGTGTGCACTTAGAACTAATAATATTGTGAATCCGGTCCGAATATGTACAGTACGCTGCTTGATTGCACTAATCCGTAATAATCGGGATCCTATTCTGACGCTGTTGCTGTTCTCAGCCATGTAGTATAATGGAAGTGGCATTGTAATCTAGTGCCTGGTTTCCCATCATGGGCAATGTCAGCATACTGATAAGTTTCTCGTGTTGTACCCCGTATACGAGTATCCATAATCCAGTGAAGCTGCATGGTGCTTTCCTCCGCGCCAGTGTATTTTGTCATTGGACATTGTTGACGTAATGCCTGGTTGGACAGTTGTGGACCAAACTGTTTTAGATGTTCATTTTTTGTGAGTGTGATGGAAACAGGAAACATCAATATATTTTTTCTGTTGATTGCGGATATTCCCGGAACAAATTGTACAGAGTTTGGTGGTAGCGTTGATATCAGTGCCATCACCAACTTCATCGACAATGGTGGCAATGTGCTCGTTGCTGGTAGCCCATCCCTTGGTGAGTCACGCACGTTGAATGTTATTACCTTTTGTAAAAAATTGAAAATGTCTGCCGTTACTGTGCAACGCAGGCATAATAAACAGCACACTTCAGCTTACAGTGCAGGTGTCTTGGAGCAGAATTCTAATGCAGTCATTACTGTGTGATACTAGTAGACATGGGTGAAACTTTCCTTGCATGCTATGGCATAGCTGTTGAAATTAACGTTCAGTTCATGATCTTGGACTGGACACCAGCATGAATAGTTGCTTGGATGTCTTTCGTCGTTGTAGTTGCACGTGCCCTGCCATGAGGTCATTTTGTGCACCTACTCTGCCGCTCTGATCTTCTCTAATCGCTCCATGTACATACGTTAAATTACATTTCTATCGCAATCTTCATCATGGCTCATCACACCCCATATGTATTCTTGGAGATAACAATCCTAGATAGAAGGGTAAAGAAAACCTCTTTTCCGAGGCAATATATACGGAGACTCCCTCGATTTAGGCTAAGGCCTGTGGAGAATCCATATATACAAATACAAATATGCCATCTGGGTGTTGTGTGACTGTTACCGGTATATGGTGTGGTGGTAGTGACTATGTCTGCATGTATGTATTGTATTCGCAGACGATCCACTCCGGAACCTTGCTACCGAGTGCGGTCTCGAGTTTGATGAGGAGAACACAAATGTGATTGATCATGTCAACTTTGACTCTGCTGACACCGGACGGGTATGTACTTTGCCGTGGCCATTTTATTCATGTTGCTTTCCATCTCCCTACCAGACAGTAGCACATCTCCTGGCGAATCTTTTTGTGTAGGTGTTCATCTCTACTTGAACTACGTTACAGTTTGAGTTACTGCATGTGGTGTCTGTTTGACGACATCGGTCTTCGTTTCGTGTGCTGCGTGTCTGTTTGTATTTAGCATACACGTGTCCTGGTGCCTTCCAAGAACATTGTTGACAGCTCTCTGATCGCTGGAAAGCGCAGTGACAAGCCCCTTCTGTACCAGGGAATCGGGTAAGTGTTGATGAATGGCTTCTTATGATGTGCACTGTTGCTGCAATAGTGTTTGATGCACATGCATACACATCTGTTGACACAATGTCAACTAAATGGAGCAAGTTATTGTAGCTGCCAGTTTCATGCCAAATAGTGAACATTATTATAACAAAGGATTTGTCTTCAGTGTCATACCGTATGTCAGCGCCTTTAAAGCCATGGCCTTATATTCGAAACACCGCTGCTTTCCTAGATATTTTAGATGCAAAATGACTCACCCACTACGCCATGCCATAAAAGTCAAAGTCCACACAGAAATTTCAATCTAAATCTACTTGTTCACCCTTGCTGCTGGGCTGTAAGTTTGTTAGCATAGCACTTATTCCTTCATTTTTGCAAAATATACTTCAAATGTCGTTTCATTTATGAAGCCCATGGCTTTATAACTGAGACTGGCTTTATAATCGAATATACCGCCATGGCTTTAAAGGTGCGGACATACAGTATGTGTATCTATTTGGTAGTGGCCGGTGCATTATCCCTTTTCCTAGGCTTTGCCCGGGGACGGAGTACACTGAATGTCACATGGTGTTAGCAGTGCCAGCGGAGCCATAATCCACTGTACTTGTTCTGTTTGTGTTCCTTTAAGCATGGTACTTGACCCAGACAACAGCCTCATCACATCCATCGTTACTGGCAGCTCAACCACATACTCACATGATGCTTCCGAGTCCATCACTGAGGTAAATCTTAAATTGGCTGCCGCTCGTTATCAGTGTCTTGCGATCTTTGTCAGCCCTAGCTGTAAACCACCGTCTGCTGTTTCTTCGCCTCTTTATGATAGTATCAAAGTGTAAATAAGCTCCCAAGAGTGGGTAACTTTGCATATGGAGTCTCCGATGGCAGAAACTTACATCACGTGTTTCAAGCACATTTCGTGCTACGTACAGTGTAGGCCTACATGTGCACAGTTTGGATATCTGCCATGGTCATGCTCGCGTTAGCTGAGTGTCAGGGATTGCTATTTTTACTACACCACTGCTGCTAGAAACAGCCTGGGAACATACAGCGTGAACACTGTACCACATGCTGTGCGTTTTTGCGAGTTGCACACTAATAATAATAACAGCTCGCATGTACCCCATGGGGCTAACGCATCTGTCAGTAAAAGAGTTACTGATTAAAAACGAGAAATACATGACATACACACCTCCAATCTGTTATTGCAGGGAAAAACTACCTCGATTCCACCATGAGTTGCACACTCTTGTGAGCTTATTTGTTCTTGATAGAATGCTGTTATGATGTGGAGTAATCAGTGTTTATGATATGGGTGGCTGCAGTGTACTTCCCACTCAATGACTGCTAAAGGTTTTTTAATATATTAATGCTCGCACTGGTACTAAGACAGTATTCTATTTTTGCTGTTTGTTTTTGCCGCTGTAGTATCCCCATGCTGTAGGCAAGAGCACTGTCCTGGTTGCCGCCCTCCAGGGCTTCAACAACGCCCGTGTTGTATTCACAGGCTCCCTGGATATGTTCAGTGACGAGTTCCTGTCATCTCCAGTGCAGCAGGGTATTGCCGGTGGCCGTCAGTTTGAGAGTGCTGCCAATGCCGAGTTCATCAACTCGTTGTCCAAGTGGGTGTTCAAGGAGAATGGTGTACTGCGTTACTCCAATGTCCAGCACCACCATGTGGGTGAATCCAGCCCTGCCACATACTACACCGTCTCCGACAACGTGGTAAGCTGATGCTTGTGTACTGCTCCTTACGTCTGGTTTGTTCTGCACATTTTACATACGGTGTCTACACGCAGAGAGCAGGAACAACCTTGGAACGAATTTACCCGTAACTTTTCTCCTTGAAGGACCTTCTCAGTCCTCGCTAGTGGGTGAATTGCTGAAAGGCGTGTCCTGCATGTACTATTGAAATCTGGCGGATTTTCAAACTTAGTAGTAACTCCATTTTTTTTAGTCAAAAGAAAGGACAAAAGTCATAACTCGTAACATTTTGTCCTTTCTTTTTATCCATAACTCCATTTCCTGCGCCTTTTCCAATATCAAATGCGGCAAACAAGAGTTTGACGGGTTGGACAACGCAGAATGTACAGCTTTTACTATATTTATTTTGGATGAATGGACTGTAAACTAAGATTGATGGCCGCATGTGACGGCCACGAAAAGAAGCGGCAAGCCATTTTCTTTGAGATTTGACTGCAGGCAGGGGTCTGGATAAGAAAGGTTTCATTGCAGTCATCATGGCCTGTGCCTATTTTAATGTTGTGCTGTCATGTAGGAGTACAGCATCCGCATTGAGGAGCTCGTCAACGGTCAGTGGCAGCCATTCCGTGCCAGCGGTGTTCAGCTGGAGTTCCAGTGCATCGACCCCTTCATCCGTGCCCCGCTGAAGGGAAACAAAGGTGAGCGATAGACATGCTGCTTGGTTTTTCACTGCTTTGCATGATACAGGTCAGGCCTCGCTATAACATAAACGTCACTATAACGTACAAAATGCGAATGTACCTGCCGAAACATCATCACTTCTGTCCAAAAAATCGCTATACAGTAGCATAATTTTCGCTATTACACACGTGACACTCTTACGCAGTGTTCGCTTGGTTCCACGCGCACAGAGACCTCAGTATAACACAAAAAGCCGTGCAGTTGAGCATCTTTCCGGTCAGAATGACTTTCTTTTCTTGAAATTTCTGCGCACGGCTACATACCCTTGCTTGCATTCAACACACATACTGGCATTCAAGCAATTCTTCCAACAGTCAACACTACAGACGTGTGGACTTGGTGCATAATGTGTACTTCGAAGTAGTGTTTTCAACACATGCGGTAGATACTTTAGAACATACAGTGTACATGACGCACTTCCTGAGTAAGTGAGTTGATCAGATTGGATCATCAGTGCTACAGTTGTAATCGTAAGCAAAGAGCGTCATTTTGACATACATGTTGCATATTGGTGGGCCCAACTCGCTATAACATTCTTTCGGTAGAGGTGTTCGTTTTCTACTCAAAGGCGTAGATTCTACTTTCCTCTACCGGCTCTACCAGAAAGCCGGTAGAAGTTGGTAGAGCTACGGGGTTTCCAGCAAAATCAAGGAATTGAACACAACTCCGTACAGAAGAGAAACATTTCATGTACATATCGTGAAAAACTACTAAATCCGGTAGAGTAACTCGACTCTACTCTACCAGGTAGCTACAAACGAACGCAGCCTAATATGCATCGTATTGTACGTTGGAGAGGTGGGGGATGCAAAGGATTTGGTCGTTTTATTTCAGTGGGGTGTCTACAGTCGTATCGCAAACATCAGTTGACCGCACAAGTTTGTTTTTGCAAAAATATATCCGCGTGGGCAAGGGAACCGTAAGATCTGACTTTTTTACCCTCTTGCCACCATGTGAGCCAGCACAAGCGAAAACCCAGATAATGGACTTGGAGGGCGGTTTTGAGATTTCAATACGAGAGCTTTCAGAATTTCATGCAGAAACCAATAAAAAAAACCAGACTCAAAAATCTCAAGAAACACCATAGATACAGTCATTTGTCTGCACCTATGTCCTTGCCAAACATACGGAAAATGATGTTCAAGCGCAAACAATCCAGCGGTGTTGAACGAATAATTGATGGCCCAAACAAAGCTGTTCCAATGAAGCAGATGGAGAGTATTATCAAATCAAGTGAAAATACTGTACATATAGGTAACATGATATTGAGTCTTCTAAACATCATAGCATCAAGAGACTCTTTAGAGTACATGAGGGCATCTACGCAAATAGGCGTAATCAAGAGCAATGTTGCGCAAGTGTGTAACTGAGCAATGGCACAAGTATGTACACGAAAATAGAAACGAATGTGAAATGATCAAAGTGCCATGTCAGGCTGGTCGGCGAGGATGTTGTCTCACTCTGCAGATGCAGTAGGTGGCGGGCAAACGTCATCTTGAAACTCTGATAGAACATGCTCGCGAATGTGAGAAAAGAGGTACTGCTGCCTCTCTGCAGTCAGTCCTGCAGGACTGAGGACTTTCGGCAGACCAGCACGAAGCAAATCTTCTGCAGGCACTTTCAGCAAGGCAAGCCTCTGCTCAGCAGCATGAACATTCTCTTTGCAATACACTACACCAGGCTCAACACTGGAAAAGCGCATGTAGTGAAGCTTGGAAATGCCGACCAAGGGCTTAAAGAACTGCATAAAGAACTTATCCCACTCACGCCACTCCAGATTGGAGCCAGGAATAAGCTGCGCCTGATTGCATACAGCACTACCATTCACTACATCAGCTAACTGGACCATGCTATAGATATCATTGCGCCTATAGCTGCGTTTCAGCAAACCTAAGCAGCCATCGACCAAACATCTGGTGTGGCCTGTGATCATGAAATGCAGCTCAATACACTTATGCAAGCCAGACATACAGCGCCATGCAAGGTAGGAAACAACAGTTTTATTCTTGTTCTGGCCACAGCAATTATCTGCAGAGAGGATACACTGTTCTTCGCCATAACCATGGTCTGCGAAGAAATGGTGGAGGAGACTTACAACACTGTTGGGGCCATGGCTCTTGGAGCCATTTGTGCCGATGGTGTCCGTCTCGTCAATCAAGTAGTTCACTTGGTGCGGAACAGCTTCGTTGTTCACCCCAAACACCTGCACTTTCCTTGGAACTTTAAAGTAGAGAGGACCTACTTGTCGCCACTCCTGAGGTATGCTGACGTTTTGCGCAAAATCGAATGTATAATGCGTTTTGAACGTGGCTTGCGAGCATGGAGCACATGGTGGCGCACACTGGGCACTGGCTTGTAGCTGTTCGGCAGCAGAGATAGTAGCTCCACGATAGTAGTCTCTCTCATGTTGTGCTGCTGCAATGTGGTCTTGCAGTGCTGAACAGGCGGCCACCTTATCCTGCTCAGTCAAAGCTGACATGACCCGACGGCGTAGTTTCTCGCACAGATCACACACGTCAGTCCGTGGAGACATAAATTTCAAATGCGGCGTACATTGGTGCCAGATGCTACGGAAGGAAGATTCTCCCATGACACGAATGCCAGCCGAGTTCCCTGCAGTAACATACAGTTTGTGCACAGCCTTGTATGTCTGGCTTGCAGGCAAAAACACGGGAGGAATGCCATCTCGACCATGTAGTGGTGCAGGGTGTGGGATGCCATAGTGTTCGCCGTGAGACTTTATGAAAGTAACCGCATATTTGACTTCCTCAAACGTGAAAGCGTTTGATGGTCGTCGACCAGCATTGCCGTGTCGCCGCGCCGTTGCACCGTTGCTTTCCACGTGCTTACACAAACTCCACAGTTTATCTTTCTTGATGTTAAAGATGTAGCGGAACGCACCGGCACACACTCGCTTGCTCTGGAAAGCGTACTTGAAAGCTGAGCGTTTACGCTTTTTCTGGTGGACAGTGAGCTTGTCTCCACAATGCATAGCCTCCAGCACACCACTCAGCAGTAAATCAAAATCAGGTCGCTCCAGCTCTGCCATGTTCAGCCGATTCTGATCAACATCTTCAATAGAAAATAGTGACAAACAATTTTTTGAACATCCACATTTTGCAAAACTGTGGCTGCAGTTGCAGCATGTTGGGGAACGTCCATACCAGCATTTAGGTCCTCAAATACATCGTCAGTATCGCTTGCCTCTTCTTCTCCATCGCCGTCGTCGGTGCTGCTCAGTTCATCATACCGATGGGCAGCAATATCGATGTCGAGCTCCTTGTCGAGGAAATGGCTGTCACTACTGTCATCATCGTCGTCAGATTCCTCCAAAACATTTTGGACAGGTGGCCCGTCAAGAGCAACTGAGCGTACAAATTCTTCCTCGTCTTCAAGGAGCAGAGCAGCGAGGGCATCGTCCACGGTGAACGTAGCTCGTCTGCTCATGCTGCCAAAGAATCATCGACTAACTTCAAAGGCCTAACTATTTTCAAATTTCAGAGCGAAGAGTGCAAGCACGATCCTCCAGAGTAAAATCGACTTCAGTCAAGCGACCGAAACTCAGCCGTCCCTTGACGGATTTCCTTCAAATAAACAGCACAAGAAAGCTGAGGAACTCAGCTGCGCGATGGTCCGCGCCATAGAACACTACGTCACATACTTGTGACGTAGCAAAGCATTGAACACGCGACACGCTTCGCTGAATGGGGATTTCCCGTATTCAAACTTCTCAAGCCGTTTTCTCAGTTCATGACGTAGCTCCGTTATCCGGTTTTTCGCTTGCGCTGGCTCATGTGTTCTTTCTACAGATGGTGTATTCTCCACCAAGATTCAGCTTCCTGACCAGTATGGAGTTTTCAAGTTCTTGGTTGACTTCCGCAGCCTCGGCTACACTTTCCTTGTCAGCTCCACCCAGGTAAGCACTTTTTTTTTTGCCTTTTTGTTCATGCAGTGCCTATTTTTCTCTTGTCTTTTGGCCAGCTCTCGCATTTTCTGCGTACAGTTGAACTGTTGCCTTGGATATTTGCACCTGACACGGCATCCACCGTTTGGCAAATCCTAACTAATCTTGCTGTCTGTGCATAACTAATTTATGGTGTTGGCTGTCACACTTGTTTGGTCCTGTTGTTGGTTGACAGCATGTTGGTCCTGCCGTGCATTTTTGCCATTAGACACCCTTAGCAAAAAAACGTTATGTTGTAACGGTATTACCGTAAGGGGGAAAATACCGTGATTTGGGCTCGACCTTAGCAAGATGCACGCTATTTTTAGTACGCTGTTGCCACGAGAATAGCTGTTACTTCGCGCGGTACAACCATTTATGTCACCATATACGCGATACAAGGTGAAATGCATACGGACTATGCAATATTTGGCCAAAAAATGTACCGTTGGTCACAACGATAAATCAGCCCCCATAACGTTTTTACGCTGCAGCTTCAACGCTATTTGGGTGATCAAGGTACGAGTACCGTCAAAAATAGTGTTGCCGTTTTTTGCTGTGTCTATTATGACTGTTTTCTAACTCCTTCTTGATTTTTTCGTGCCTGCATCTTGTTTCAGATCACTGTGCGACCACTCACCCATCTGATGTACGAAAGGTTTATAATGTGTGCGTATCCTTACTACGCTAGCTGCTTCTCCATGATGGTCGGTCTGGTGATCTTCTCTGCAGTCTATCTTTTCCATCGTGAACCCAAGAGCAAAGCAGAGTGAAATAATTGCCAGTGCAACATTCTCAAATGATCTTTTTTCTAAGCTAGTTCTTTCGCTGTCTTCAAGGATTATCAGACAGTGCAAGATCCTCCATATGTTATGTTTTATTGATTTCATGGTAATAGGTGTGTATGCACATAACTAACCAACCTTGTAAATGTAGACGGACTAAATGAAGTTCCTCCGTGCTTGACCGCTCGCATGTGTTTGTGTATGTGGTAGTACGAGTATGTGTGCATGCACCTGCACACTTTGCACATACTCTTGCTTCAGGAGTGCGCGTTGTTGCGTTACTGAGCCATGCCGGTGAAATCGGATGCAGCAGTACACAAACTCCCAGAGTGTGTAGCTGCCAGTGGATAGTGGTCATGACTCGTTTTCATGGTGTATCTGCAAACTTTGTAGCTATAATACAACAAGATATGAGGCTGACCTGTTGGGTTGCGTCACTGTGTCCGTCAACTGTAGGTCGATCAATAAGTTATGCAAACTAGAACTAGCTTGCATTGTCTTGTACCGTAGTTGGGGGTGTGGGCTCTTTCAGTCTTTGGCTTCATGTCATGTTTTATGATGTGAGTGAAGAAGTTTACCTTTTAGCAAGAGTACTCCTATAGTTCTATTGTTGCATAAGACATCAGGACTTTGCTTCTTGCCTCTGATAACAAGAGTGTCTACATGATTGTATTCATGCATGACTTCATAGGAACTCTTCGTATCAGTCCTGGTCAGCAGACATTTGGTCTGCATAATTTCATGCTACTCAAGTGCGAGCTCCGGCATTAGGAACAAACACTTTCTTCACCAATTTATACCGTCGAAGTTGCAACATCTTCATTCGTTCAATTAGATGAATTATTATTTTAGAGAATAGCATTCAGTGCAGGGAGTCGTCAAATATTTGACGACTCCCTGATTCAGTGGATTCTTGCATCTCACATGCACACACAGGTACATAATAATAATTATTATTATTATCTTTTCCCGTTTGTCTCTTTCCCTCAAACCAGTTAATTATTATTATAATAATTTATATGACATGTACAGGTGCATGCACAAGCCACATCATGGTACTAGTACATTATACTGCATGTGTTCAGCAAAAGGACAACCGGTATACCAATGAATGGCTACTCTGTATTCTTGGTACCGTCATAGCAGGAAATAAAATTTAAAGCTGAGTAAAAGGACCGAAGAAGCGAAGGTCTTTTTACTGTCCCCCGTGAACTCTGCGGCTGAAAACATTAAATTCTGCGCTGATTCTGGGGCAATTCTGCAACGGAAATGAGCGTAAAAACAGATTGAATTTCCGCAACCCCACCGAAGTTTGTTGCCCCTATAAATTCTGAACCCAAATTATGAGAAATACTGGTCCAAAAATTGAAAGCTCCAAAATGTACCGTGCAAGTTGATTGTGAAAGTCACAAGCAGGTTGGTTTGGCTGTGAAACACTCCAGAAAAGCAGTTTTCTCTTTTCTGCAATATTCCGCGGGATTTTCTGAATTCTGCGGACACTACCGGATTCTGCGGAAATTCTGCAATTCGCAGAATCGCGGAATTCACGGGGGACAGTTTTTAATACGAGGTTATATGGCCCGATGTGTCGGGGGGCTGTGTGCTCTTGATGTAACACAATCATATCAGGCAACTCCTTGCATGATCTAAAACTTATGTGTCTGTATGTACAAGTCGTACAGACGTGTTACTTGCATGTTGCAAGAGCAGCCCCCCCCCCCCCTCCTGTTTGCAAGTTGTATTTCAATGATCCAGATCGAGATACATGTATGAGCAGATTTCCTTCAAGAGGCGTAAAATGCATATTTTACGTCTCGCTCTCCTTCTTTGAAGATTGTACCGTATAATCAGTGAGATGCAAGCAAACGTAGTAGTCGTGTTTTACTCCTCCCAGCCTGGAATTTTAATCTGATCTACAGTTCTCGCCAAAGAAATCCAACATCATGAATAAAATAGCGCTGAGCGCTACGCAGCCCTAGCATTAGAGGCACTTGTCTGGGCACTGTAACGCAGCGCTACTTTATTCATGAGGTTGGATTTCTTTGGCCAGCACCGTATGTTTGGTCTACCAATATTACAGAATACTAGTAGCTGAGACCATGCAGTGGTTGCTAGCGTTTCGGAGAATGTGATGTCGAACATAACATATCGGATTCCAAACACAATAGCATTTTTAAAAAAAATACATACCTCCGTATTCAAATTACTAGTATCGGGATTCCTTCAACCTGTGATAGTGTTTACAAGGGAGAACGGTGTGCACCTGACTGCAGAAGATATGCTGCAAGTTCCCAAAATATACCACAGCAAACCTGTGTCCGTTTTCCCTGACCTCTGAGACTGTTTCATGCCACATATACAGAGTCAGGCATTGGCAGAAGCTGGTGGAGTCCACAGTTCATAACTTTTGAACTTGAAATGAGATGGGAATGCAGAGAGAGAGAGAGAAACTTTTGAACTTGAAATGAGATGGGAATGCAGAGAGAGAGAGAGAGAAAGAGAGAGAGTGTGTGTGGGGGGGGGGGGGGGGGGGGGAGGGGAGAGCAGTAATTTGCACCGTCCACACTCAGACATAATGATCCAGGAGCTGTCATCGGTTCACAAACACTGAAATAATGCTATTCAAGAGCTGTACATCCATCAACAATTGGAAAAGGTTTCGTTAGGGTTCAAAATGATGACTTGGAATGGCGATAATACTATGAAAAACGTATTCACATGGGTGATGATATACAAGCAGTAGCCTGTACACTACAAGCGTAGTCTGAACAAAGTGCAGATGAGCACGCACATGCTCAACTCACTGCATTAAATTGGACAAGGTTCTAGTATATACAGGATCAGTACAGCATGATAAATATTATTATGTACACTCAAAGGTTAAAAAAAAAAAGGTGCTACAGTTACTTGCTCGTGGCTGGTGAGACATCCTTCGCGGTTTGCTTGTTCAGTTTCTTGTACCAGAATTCCGAGCTGCCTCGGTGTGAGCGCCAATTTCGCAAGCTAATGTGCACCACTGAATAACCAAGGGTAGACAGCATGAAGAAGCGTGAGGATGGTCGGGGCCTGATAGTCGTTGGTAGCATGGTATCATCAACAACGTCCACTACGACCGCTGCGTTGTTAACCTTCAGGCTGTGCCGTCCACCCACCCATTCGAGATTCAACGAGTCTGGTACGACCAGAGCATCCAGATGTAGGCCATGCTCAGAATGTGCACTGGGAAGGACCGTGAACGGATCATTCTTCAGCGTCGTCGTCAAACTTCTGATGCACTCCTGCTTGCGATATGACAGGTCGCAGCAGCTTGCACGCAGCCGGGTGAGGCACTCTTCCTCAGCACGCGACTCGAGGACAGTGCCGTTCTGCAGCAGGGAGCAGAATGACTTGAACTCAACCAGACGTTCAAGAGTGGTCAAGGGCATGGAGCGCACTGCTCCGATGGTTACGCACTGTTTGACAAGCGGAGCAAGGGAATCTGCTCCTAGTCGATAGTGAGTACACACCCAGGCCAAAGTGACAACATCACATATCGATGCTATCCAGTCGTCTAAGTTGCAGTGTTCATCAGCTCGTAATGAGAGACTTGATGGTCTGCTCTCTGCATCCACGAGGCAGTAATACACGGCGCCAACAAACTCAGGCACAGGTGTATTATGCTTGACGAGCAAGGCGGCTAAGTCCGCCACAACGCGACAACCCTTACGGGTAGCACAAAGGCTAGATACCTCAGATGTTGCATACAGCGCACACTCCTTGAGCCAATTGCCGACAAAGTGGTGCATGTGTTCGAACACCCGCACAAAGTCGGCCAGGAGATCCGGGTTAAGGGAGGATGGAGAGAAGTGCACATCCTTACTAACCGACATCAGATGCTCGGTGATACGGTGTAATGCTTCTGCATCCAGCTGTGCTAGGGCACATACACCGGTGAGAATTGAAGACATGTGATGTGCGGTGGTCTCTTTGGTCTCAAGCAGCATGTTCAATGCACTCTCGACCACTGACGGCGACACAACAGAGTTGGTTCTATGAACAAAGTCAATGACGCCTACAGCACATGGAATGCAGTTGATTAGCTGCTTGCCTTGCTGCCACAGGCAAGTCACTACAAGCAAAGCCAATTTATCCGGTGATACGTTGTCCAGTTTCGACGCCATGGCTTCCACTGACAGCAGATCCATGAATCGCCGCTTGCTGATACTAACATGTTTGAAGTTGTGGCCCAGCTCATCGAGCACACCGTTGGACAGTGAATTAAGACAAGCTAGTGCATGCAAACCCATCACAACAGGGTCGCCGCTCAAGAAAGGCAGCCGCGCCTCTATACACTTGGCCAACGAAACCTTTAACGCCGGCGTGTGCTGTACCTCTGTGAGCTGGCAGAGGACTGGGAAGCTGAGATCACTGAGACGGTTCTGAAGCAAGGTGCAGCACAGCATAGCAAGATCGCTGTCTGGTCCCAGAGCCCGCATGGATGACAAACACTGCAAGACCAGCACCAACGACGCCGGTCGCAAGCTGGGAGCTGAGCGCACCAGATCGGAACACAGCTGCTGGAAAAGCTTGGCTCGTGGACCCAATATCGATGACTCGGGACAGACGCTGAGCAATTTCAGCAGACGAAGCTGGTTATTAGCATCATACTGGGACTGGACACAGTGATGGATGGCATGGTGTGCCAGGACAGATATATCCAGTGGTCCAAATTTTCCTGCTACGGTGGTTGCACTCTCCAGGAAAAACACAAATTCATCACTAAGTAGCTTCGCTTTTTCATCCAATTGAACTTGATCAAATAAAGGCTGCAAACAGGTGAAATCGTATACATAGTCTTCGGAGCATCTTGATGCCAACGTTCCACACAGGGAAATCAGCTCACTTAAATTAAGAGTAAATTTCTTGACCAGACATTGCACTAGAACATCCAACGTTCCGCAAGGAACAGATTTAGCAGCTTCTAATAGCTCAGCTGCTGAATGCGAGCTGATCAGCTTTTCAACACGCTCGCAAATCGGGGCGCCCAGGACGAAGAATACATCTCTCTCCTCTATGTGATTATCTACCACGCCACGTACTAACGAATTAATTTCAGATACTGAAGATGAAACCAGCACCTGCTGCTTGATTTGATTCCATAAAATCAACTGTTTCGAAGGAGGTGAGGAAATCTGTCGAAGACTTACGAAAGCAGTTCTCAGTACACCTTTACGAAGACCTATGCTGATCATTATTTCACCTTCATGCTACATCAAACTGGTAGAAGGTCATTTCACCCACACCAGCACGACCTCCACTTCAAAGTCGAGGAGACGCTGAAACATATTCAAAATAAATTGATCAATTCGGCCTCCTTGAAAATTAAAATAATTTACAAAAATCACAAGATCGAGAAGCATGCAGCTGAAAAAACCAACGGCCTGATCGATCGCGATCCTGCATTTTTGGTACAAACCCGGCACGTGCCCCATTATATCGGCGCGCACTCGTACTTGGGCACGACTAGCTACTGCCTACTGGCCTGGGCCCGGGCGCGCGCTTGACATGTTTACAGTAGGGAGTCGTAAAATACCAGGTATTTTACGACTCTTTACAGCACGGCAGCAGATATCGCGACCTACAAAGTACAATACTCATAATTATTATAAATAGTGCCTACTGTAGCTGCATCCAACCAAGAAGTTGCCAAGAGTACAATCATGTACTCTTGATCCTACTAACTAGTATTACAACTTAATTTATAGTACAAAAAACCTGGTTTATGCGACCACCCCACGGTGCAAGCAAAGTCGGTCGTTAAAGCCAGGTGGTCTTTAGAACCAGGTCCCACCGTGTCTGTGTAGAACTGTCGGTGCATGGAAAACGGTCGTTAAGAGCAGGTGGTCGCTACTACCCAGAGGTCGCTTACCCCAGCTTTTACTGGTTGAAGAAATAATTAGTTCTGGGCAGGGAGTAGTAAAATACTCCCTGGTTCTGGGCAATGCAACTGAGTCTAAACCAGGGTCCAGGGAGTAGTAAAATACTCACAACACGTACCACACAAAGTCATACTGATGCCTGGCACTTGGCTCTTTTTCCCTACCACGCGGGACCACTTTCTTTCACCTCCAGCTCCACACATACTGATGGCACTTGGGTCTTTCTCTCTACCAGGGGACCAACCATGGTCAAAGCTCTGGTAGTACGTTCCAGAACCTGACCGTGGTTGGTCCTCCCCCCCCCCCCCCGGGTAGGGAAAAAGACCCACGTGCCATCAGTATGTGTGGCACGTGTTGTGAGCTGCTATGCCTTTGGAGTGAAAAACTTTGTCAGCGCCGTCTAGGTTCGGCCTGGTCCCTTGTCTCAGTGGTTAGAGCGTTGCTCATGACAAGCAAGGTCCCGCCCGGGTTTGAGTCCTGGTCGGTCTGGTATTTTTTTTCTCTTTTCACTTTCAGGCAGTTCATTTCCCCTGACTGTTCACCTTGGATTAGTAACACCACCAACACTTTTTGAATAGGGTGTGTGTGTGTGTGTGTGTGTGTGTGTGTGTGTGTGTGTGTGACCAAGTGGGGTACCAGTATCCGAATACATCCCACATGTACACCCACACCCCGATGAGATTCCATGTACAGTCAGTATCGCCTATAGCGTTGGTGTTTGATTTTGAGCATTTTATCACTATAAGCGATATATCACTATGACCGATACTGCATGCAATGTATGCGAGTGGGGTGTCAAACGACTCAGGGCGCCGTGCACATACGCACTGCATAGCTGGCTACAGCTCATGTCACACAAAATCAGCATTTCCTCACGATGGAGGCATATTTGGCAACTTGTACAAGCAGAACTCACCAAACAACACTGGACAAGTTAGTTCTTCACGAAGAAGTAACACCCTGTTCTCCTCTGACACCACTTGATTTTACATCAATCACTATAATCGATGCAAAAATAATGTAATAAAGGTCTTTTGAAATAAGAATTTGATCACTATAGGCGATACATTACTATAGACGATTATTACTATACGCGATAACTGTGTATACTAAGTTATGGCAAATGAAAATGAATTTGAGAAATTGATCACTATATCCGGTATATTACTATAGCCGCCAACCTTATAGGCGATACGTACTGTACCGGTATGTGAAGTTGGACACGGTCAGCCATGCGATGGCTCGTCAGTGAGAGTTCTCTTCATAGTATACTGGTGGCCCTAGCTTGGGGTTCCTAGCAGGAGCATCGGAGCACACGTGTGTGTGTGTGCGCGTGTGTGTGTTCTTCTCAGTTTTGGATCATGGTGACAGTGGATCAACAAGACGAGATAGACACTCCCCTAACAAGTCCATTTGTTAGGGGAGTGCACGATCAATGGACCAACCTATTTTTCGGGGCAAATTTTAATCAAGTGATTTTGCTTTTAGAACTCTGATAAGGCCCTTGGCAGGGACGTTACTGATTGGTCGTCTCCCAGACTACGAGACCAACCTTGTTCAAAAGTTATTTTGTGTGGCAGATTATAGAAAAAAATGCTCAAGTAAAGGGGAAGTAGTACTGAGTATGGTCTAGAATCAAAATGTCACTATTCATAGTCAATCAGGGTGCTGCGTCGAATGGTCTTGGTCCAAGGAAGCTGAGATGTTCCCCAGCTTCCTCCTTTATCCCCAATCAAACTCGCCTCTTCCACCGAAACTGGGTGACTGCGCCCTGCTACTGTCGTGGACATGGAAATCCGGTCGCACGTCTAGCGGCCCCAGGGCGCTGGCCATGCAGCCGTGGATAAGTGGTACACACATGCATTTATGCGCTGCAGCGCGCTGGTCGCATCGGATCAACATGTGCACTGCATGCAGCGTTCTGTACGCGCTCAGGGCGCCGGCCCCGGTCAATCGGCTGGATTTCCATGTCCGCTACAGTAGATGGGGATTTATATACAAAATGCCACTGAAACGCTATTTTTGTTCTTATAAAAGCACGGATGAACGAGATTGGCCCATATGTTGTAGCATTTTGGACGCTGAGTCGACTGGTTTTGGTCCGAGAAGGCTGCGATGCAGCGTTCAGCCCTTACTCCCAACCGAACACGATCAAGTTAGCAGTCACGCGCTGATGCATACACCAGTCACCTGATCACCGTGCTTGCAGGCTACAAATTTCTCACCAAGGCTCAACTCGAGTGACAGGAAAGCACGCTAACAGAACCACCTGGCTTTCAACCTAGGCAACTGGCATAGTTGCAGAAATAGCAAGCAGATGGTATTTGCGTGAGGGTGATACCTGCACGGCAACGTACAATGTAGTTGGTCACCTGGCCAGGTTTAACCTGTACGTACCGGGACTACTCAACCAACCAACGCACTAACATTAGTCACAGATCAGATCACATTTAGTGTAAGCACTGAGCCAATCAAGAGGCACCGCACTAGAAAGACATCTGGACAGTGGCGCTCGTAAACACCGTAGTGAATAAGCAAGCACTCACATTAAAAAGCTAGTTCTCTGCCGTGTATTTAAAAGAAATACTTCGCCCTGGTAGTGAATTGTCTACAAAAGTAAACGAAGCGTGCAGCTTTCAAAGTAAAGCATGGAGTTGCCGACACTAGGTTATAGAGAGAAGGGTTAAGACATGGAGGAACAAGACAATTATGAAGGAAAGACACGGCTGGCTCATACCTTGAAGACATGCGGCCAAATCTGTAAAGCAGCATCGCCGCCTGTCAATAAGAACTGTTTCACACAACCGGCGCTCTGTTGCTATTGGTAATCCTACACATGACAAGGGTTGACGAGTGTGAAGTTGGCTATTGCGATTTGTCCTTGGGCTGCTTGCGCTTGACGATCAGCGGACCCACATTATCTCCGGTCTCCTTGTTGTGTGTGTTATGCGAGCCGTCGCAGAGGGGGAATTTCTTGGAGCGCCAGCACCTGCAATACACTGTTTTGTCATCAAGATCTTCGATATCTACAGAAGTTGCAACTTTGTCCTTCTCCTTGTCAATTGACAGGTTCACTGCTGGAACGGGCTTATCGGATTCTTCTCTTGCCCCACCTCTTCCGATCTCCAGGAGATTGGCAAGGAAGAGGTACACCAGCAGAACGCAGAAACCAATGACAGGCAGCAACTGAATCCACTCGTTGCCAGACAGGTCAGCAAAGCCAGCAACTGTGGAAGGAATGGGCAACGCCTTCAGGTATGCCGGCAGCTGAGTCTGAAAGAAAAACTTCACCGCTTCCATGGCTAAGGCTTCAAGATACGAGGAAGAAAGCAAGGCTCAGCAAAAAGACAAACAATTGTCTTTCAAGAGTAGCTTGGCAGTTTTATTTTGCTAGGATTTATGAAGACCGCTCTGACTTGCTTTTGAAAAAATGCGTCACCACTCTCACCTTGACGACGCATTGTGTCACGTGCATCAGGGAGAAGTCGGATTTCACTTGCCTCAGCTCAGAGCTCAGCTGCAGTCATAATGACTTATGTAAACCAGTACGTACTGTTCAATGATTACGGTATAATAGTTTATAATTAATTTAATTATTATTACCGTAGTCTCTATCTCCGAGTTTTGGAATTGCATACATCTGATCATGTCATGATGATTGTACTGACTGTATAGTCACATACTACAAGGCTGTACTGTATCAGCAAGGTCCGTCACTGAATGTACTCTTGATATCAGTTTACTAGTAACTTTACTTACATCAAGAGTCCCAATCACGTGGCGGCAATTGGGGATTATGGACTCTTGCTTACACGTACATGACTACATGTACACGTACATTGTACCGGCCCACCTTACTTTTGTATTATTTTGTATTTGTGTTTATGGATTCTCCACAGGCCTTAGCCTAAATCGAGGGAGTCTCCGTACTTGGGGCCAGCTCCGGCCAGCCCAGTCCGGTTTGGATCAGTAATGAATATGATACTGCCGATTGAACTGAGCTTATCTGGCTATGATTCGCGGCAACGCCTGACTGTATAATGTACATGTAAGTAAACCAGCAGCACAACTACAATGTATTTGTTGCAGTGGAACCGGCTTGGCAACCGCTTGAATACCCGGAAGACTCAGTGTTGTGATAATGTCACGGGTACCGTAGGCTAATCTCCGGTAAGTACACTCGGCACCGTCACAACTCACAATACAAGTGCAGTGCATGGAGTCATTGCACCACATTGCATGCATTTAGCCTTTGGGGAATCTTTTTAAAAACTCACGGTAAGCTTGAGACTCAGCCTTAGACCGGCTGAGTTTTCAGCATCCGTAGGAACGCCACCACCCTGCAATGATCTCAATAAGGCGAATCCTAGTTTACTGAGAAAACAATAACAACCAGTCAACACTGAGTGGCCGAAAAAGCTACTATAAACAGTACATGATCACTGTATACAGTGTACACTTTGTGTGTGAATCATGTTGCGAGGCCGCTGACCGTATGGTGAGCTATAGATAATGGATGTCGTATGATCTCCGGCGGCATGCTTGATGGGTTAGTGGTTTGGTTCAGGGCCGTGCCACTCGATCTTGTCGGGCCAGGCTGGCCATCGGGCAGGATCTTCAATGATTTTGAAAAGTTGACCCATCCACTGGTTCATGTACTGTGGTCTACATTTTGTAGGGTTGATAAATTATAATCACGCTGTCCCTGGTTGGAATCAAGTAAGCCAGTTCGTCAAAGTAACGTTAGTTCCAGTCAAGTCTGTCAGTTTGATTAGACCACCTGAAATGCCCGTGCTACTCAGTGCCCCCTGGTCGTGTTGAATGTGTGAAATTCAGATAGCTTCATTTTTTTAATGCCCGAATGCACATACATGTACATGTATCCGAGGCCGTAAAATGTATACAATCATCATCCACAATTATTATACATGTGCACATAATGATGTCATATTTTCATCTGGCCGAATCATGGTTTGAACTTGTAGATACCCTAGACAGGTTAGACCAAGTGACACAGCACCAGGGTTCTAGCCAAAGGGGGGTAGGGGGGGGGGGGGGCGCAGCGCCCCCTACTCCGTTTGCGCCCCCCCCCCCCCTGTGAAAAGTGCCGCCCCCCTACTCATTTTCCGATTTTTGTGTTTTTCACGCCATTCAACGAAAATACAGTCGATAGTCACTACTACTAGTACTAGAGGGTTCATAAAGGCACATTTGTGAGGGGTGAAGTCGGGGGCTCACCCTGTATGTTGCATTTTGCATGGCAAGACAATTTTGGACAATGGAAAAAATGGGTCATGGGGTAACTTTTTCCCATGCCCGCCCCCTACTATATTGACCTGGCTAGAACCCTGAGCACATTGTTAAACAATGTGTAGAAAGTCAGTGTGCTTGCTAATTTTTTCTTCTGACCCACACCAGTCAACAGTCACCGTGCTGGGGAGGCCAGTAGGTGACCACTAGCAGCCATATGCAAAGAGATCATCAAGAAAGAGAAAGAGAGCCAGCATCCCGATCTGTGTGTTATGCAGTCACATGGTTGTCAAGCAATAATCATCAAGCCAGATGTAGTTGATCTACGTGGGAAGCAAGGCCTTGCTCAACAATTTCATAGTTTACCGTGAGGGCAATGTGGACACAAAGTGGGGAGAAGTCATTCAATGTGTTGCTTTCTTGGGCCAGCGTGCAAGAAAGCTGTTTATACTTATAATAGAAAAGTGACTCAGTTCTGTGAAGTTTTCAAGCGTGCAAACTGAACGCCGGCAGGGACTGGCAAATCCGAGCGGCTAGGATCATGCTGAATCTTGGCCAGGCTGGCTGCCGATTGGAGAAGTATGTTCAAGTATGTGAGCAGCCGTATGCACCTTTGTGGAAGGCTTGTGTCTGGTATGGCCTCGTGATGAAACGGCGTTGCTCACTGTCAAACTGCCACCATAATGTCATCACCCGAGTTAGTGCCTCAAGTCAGATACCATTTGCTGAATTGTGTGCCAGCGTCATTCATTCCGAGGACCTGGAATAACTTATTTTGTAGGAGATTTATTGAGCTGATGATAATGAACTGGTGTACCAGTCCGTGTGTTACAGAAGTCCTTTGCTCTCGCGGCATAGGCGTATGAGGTCAGTCTTGGTCTGCTGGCACGTGTTGCCACAATAGCGGCCAATGTCCGTTTTGCTCGATGCGTAGCGCATGAACTGCAGTGTGTCCGAGTTATAGGACTCGCGGACCTGCAAGGCTTGCTCGAGTCGAACCTTCTGCTTGGCCGTATCTTCGCGGAACTGGATTGCCTCTCTGGTCTGTAGAATCTGATCCATTGCCCGGCGGTTGTGTAGCGGAAGTGCAGACCTCTTATGGCGGTTCTTGTAGCGATAGTTGTGAAGATACTGTGTGGCGCTCTGCAGAAGAAGAGGCAGGGGAAAGGAATTGATTGCACCTACCATATACGTATGTCTGCAAGTATCTAGCTTGGTCCATGCAACATCACCCCCTGACTATTCACACAGAGACCATTTTGTACTACAAGACAGGTTACACTGACTGAGAGTACACCAAGAGACTGAAGAGAGCCATTTCATTTTATAGTTGTCTAGGATTCTGAACGCGGCATGCATCCTTGATCCAACCACATCCAATCCACACAATACTGTCTTACAGTGGACGACACGAGGGTATAATATGATTTTGAGGCACGTGAATGGATGTTCCCACCAATGCTGGCCAGTACTAGGGGCACAGTTTCCGGAATTCATGATTCCATACTGCAGTGCAACTCGTACACCTGGATCAGCCTGAACAACGTCTTCCTTACCATGGGGTAGCTAGCAGCAGTTTCAGGTCCCGTCATTATTACAGCATACATGCACACCCTCCACTTTGTTACACACATAATTTATTTATACTGACGATGAGGCCGGAATGTATATTTGAATGTGGTGCATTGGATTGTATCAATCCATGGAAAAGCCTGTGTGCAAACTGCAAACTGCACAATGGCTCCCTTTCCTGAGACTGTTATGTGCCTTTAGAACCGGTACCAGTTGATTGCTAACAGGCCATGTGTAAGACCAATAGAATACATGAATGGATTAAAAAAAAATGTAAGTCACGTGTCCTCAGAACCGAAAGATTCCCAAACTGAGACCACTATACAAGGGCAGAATGCCTTCATCCAAAGCTAACAATGCGGCATGGGACTACTGCCATTAGCACATGACTTACACGCTTGTTCAGGAGCCAAGCGTTGGAGCGACTTCCAGGGTGCTGTGGTGCCGGTCCAGACGGCTCTGGATTGCGAAGGTCAATGCTTCCACGTGGCTTTGAGCCTGGATCTCGTTTGGTGAGAACTGAATGATTACACGAGATTGACAAAGCGAGTTGGGAGGCGGAAATCAGAAGCAGTTGATATGATATTGGTGCTAGGTAAATACGGTAGTCGAATCCTTCTATTGAAAATAGCAGCCCATAGAAAACTTGACAGGATCCCTTCAGTACTGTCGGGCGCCGAAGAACTGGGGGGTCAGCCTCCTAGCCTAGACCGTTCTTATTTCCATGTATTACAGCCTATGGGCAGTTGAGTCACCGTGTGTACATTGGTATGCTGTGCTTGACGAAATTCTAGCCTGGCCGTCCTTCGGCGCTCCGTTCTTCGGCGCCCGACAGTACTGTATCCATGGCGATGGACCGGAGTACTAACACTGTACAGCACTAACTGCCACGTGGGCACCCCCTCAAAACCAAGATGGTGTCGAGTTCTGGTCCGGGAAATTCGCCCCCGGAGGCTTGGGTTTTGCATCCTGAGCACAATGGCCCTTGATGCCCTGAACTTGTCCATTTTTTCTCAGGTCGATGTACATGTAATCTAAAGCAGTCTACAATGCCAAACCCAAGCCAGG